GCTGAGGTGACGGAAAGTTCCAGAAATCTTCTCTGTTCATGCCGATATAGGCAGCATGTACTTGACTAGTGGATGGATAAGGACACCATTAACCACTGGCTTTTACACCTCTCCAAATGTTGTGATAAGATTCTCTGCTGAGAAAATGCACCAACATGGTACATTAAAATGTATGTTTTAAGATCAAATACATACAAGATTTGTATTTTATGCTAAAATGCCTACAGGAAAGTACATTTTCTAGAAACAATACATTCATTCATTCATTCATTCATTCATTCATTTATTTATTTATGCCAAACAAATGCAGAAATATGAATGAATGCACGCAAAGATAGCAGCAGACAGAAATACACTGATGATGTCTCACCCATATTCATTCATTCATTAAGCACCTCTTGAGAGGGAGCACATGCCAGATCCCCCATGTCCCAAAGACAGCTGTGTCAATGAAACGGTTCCCAACATGTTGATTAGACATGAGCACTTTGTATTCATTTCCGTGAGGAAATGAAAATGAACTGTGGCACCACAGGTGCTGCGGTGAACCAATCCGGCCCCCAAGAAATGGCCAGGCCAACTTACCAGGCTCCGCACGGCACTTAGCTCTGTTGTCGACGCACCAATCACAGAAGAAGCCCAGCTGGCCCTTCCTCGCCTCCTTGCACAGCTGACTACTGTGGCGTAGAGGTGGGAAGGGGAGTCTTCCCGCTCAGCCAATGAGTGGTCGGCTGCATGGGGAGGCAGGGAAATGCCAGCCAGACTATTTCCATGATGGGAGCAACAACAACGACATAGAGCCAAGTGCCACGCAGAGCCTGGTAAGTGGCCTGGCCAGTTGTGGAGGGCAGGATTGGTCCACCACAGCACCTGTGGTGCCGCAGTTCATATTCATTTTCCCAGGGGAACTAATACGAAGTGCCCATGTCTAATGTTGATTTTATTTCAATGCTTCTTGGAAAAATGATCCAAGACTCACCTAAACTCTTTTATTGGGGGGGGGGTGGAGGTGTTCTCTACACACACACTGGCCTTTTGGAAAGCTGTTTTTGATTCTTTGTTAGGGGCAAATGCTGGATGTATTAGAGCCAAGGCCGGCTCTACCATTAGACAAAACAGACACAGTCGTCTCAGCTAGCAGTTATTGGCAGGTGGCAGCAAGGATTTTGGAAGACAGAACTAGGTGCCACCAACCTAAGCTCTGAAAGGACTTAGGGGTGATGGAGAAGTGTGGTCTTATAATCGAGATTAACAAAATGTTAAGTTGTCAGTCCAGTTAGGTTTTCTGTATAAAACAGGAGGAAGACATTTTACTACTGAAGGAAGTAAAATCTCTTCAGTGCGTGTTGATGAGAGCCCCCAATACATGTGAAAGCCTTCCCTCCCTCTGCTATCTCAACAACAAGAGGTGTAAGAAGGGCACAGGAAAGGGGAGGCAGGGGCTTGGCACATTTCTTCAGATACACACAAGCAACCATCGTTAAAACGGGGAAGTTAAATTAATAACTGTGTGAAGTGCAACACCTGTATGTTACTGTAGTATTTACTAGTGCTCCCTGAGAGATCAAGAGAGTTGAGATTTCATTCTCTCATTAGCTTCTGAAGTTTGCTCTAATAAAGAAAGAAAGCTCCACGTGATTTTAGCAAGAAAAATAGTAATAATTCCACAGGCATTGAAATCTTCCTATTTCAGCCTGGAAAGCCAAAGGGGAGAAATATTATGCATTCTTTCACTGCCCTCTAGTGGTACACTGTTGATTTGGTGGCTTATTCATATCATCCACTATCACATCAAGTAGCTGATGCAATTTGGGATTTTTGGACTATGAACCCCATAATTCTGCATTCTGGTTCCACCTCATAGGCAGACACTCACAGACACCTAAGCATGGCTCACCTGGGAGAAAGGCCTAGCTTTGCCCAAGCTTCCTGTTCAGAAAGGAAGCTGTCTCAATGGCTCGACCAGTAAGAGAGAGGCAGCCACTATCCCCTATCACAGTGGCGGCGAACCTTTTTGTGAGCCTAAACTGAAAAAAAGAAACACACAAAGCTAGGAGGTGGTGTACCGCAGTGGTGGCGGAACCGGAAGTGGTGGCGGAAGGGGGAATCCCGGGCACGGAGGTGCCTCGAGCCCCCACTCCAGATTTGCCACCAGCACCAGCTGCTCCAGATCTGCCTGTCAAAGCACCAGCCACCAGCACCAGCTGCTCCAGATCTGCCCACCGAAGCGCCACCACAGTGGCTGCAACCACCTTCTCAGGTTTGGCTGCTGGGGAGGGGAGTAGTGATCTGGTGACGTATGGCTTGCATGCCTGCAGAAAGGGCTCTGCGTGCCAGCTGTGGCACACATGCCATAGGCTCGCCATCTATGCCTTATCCAGTGGAACATCTTTCCCCACCAATCTCATTAAAGACAGGTGAGAATATTATTTGGTTCCTTTTTCGACAAAAACCTCCCAATGTTGGCCGATGTCTTCATGAATTTGACGGAAGGCACATGGGATTTTAAAAGCCGAATGTGAGAGAAAGAAAATTTGATTCAGCTGTCCAGGTAGGAGGGTATGAGTGATTAGCTCTTAGACATCCGGCTTTGAATCCCTGTGCATTCAGCCACATTTATAGTGCTGAAGTACATTCATTATTCCCCCCACCAAAAAAAAAAATCTTCAGATTTAAGAGCAGTGCAGCAGACTGGTGTAACATGATCCTGACTTCCCTGTACTAGGAATAGTTAGTACTTACTAAAATGGACCAGGGCAGATAAAGGTTGAGACCTTTATTTGGTTTATTTTTTAATACAAAATAACCAAAATCTGAAATGTCTTCACAAATTGGAGAGATGGAACTTGAGGTTTGGTGGTGGTGGTGGTGGTGGTGAAAACACCCGGGAATATGGGAGAAAGCAGAACTGGCATATTCGCCCGTCTCCACTTTCATCTTCCTGGGCTTGGAGTCCATCCATGTGGTTACCATTTTCCTACAGGTAATGTTGGAACTGGTCATTCCAGTCCCATCTCCCAGCAAAAAAGAGAAAGAAAAAAAAGTATCTTTCCTGGGGTGTAAAGATACTCCTAGAAGTTCTGGTTTCTTTTCTCCTGCTCAAAGTTTCTTTGCCATGGAGCAGGGAAAGAAGGCAAGAATAGCAGAGAGGAGAGCTCTTGACAACTGAACTTCAAATGCACCCCAAACTCTACATCCATGGAGAGTGAACACCAGGACACATAAGCCTCTTTCACTGATTGCACGGTTTCCCAAGGGGGGGGAAAATCAACATCATATATTAAGGTCAAGGCAAAAACGAAGAGCAACTACACCCACCGACTGCCCATTCCTGTCAAGGAGGAGCCGACAGAAAGAGGAAACACCAGGTTGGGTGGAAATCTGGAGCAGGCATGATGAGCAATGAAACCAGAAGACGGAGGCAGTATCCATTCCAAAAACTCAAAGCCTGAACCAAGAAGCAAGAGCAGTCAAAGGTGGATTCTTTGGAATCCTGGATCTGTTCCAGAGAAGAAGGGGCCATTTAATTCCCCCAAGGTTGGGTGGTAACAGAAATGTGGTACCATTCCAGAGCCTGGCTACTTGGCTGTGTCCTCCTGTGAACGAAGAGGCTCTGATCTGGAGCTTTGTGCCTTTCCATCATCCATGGCAGGTCTTGCACCTGAGGCCCCTGAAGGCAAAGCTCTTAATTCTACCATGAGGTCCAGTCTAGGGTCTGCAGAGGAGTTGGATTCAGATAGCCCCTGGCAGTATCAGGGCCCAGATCCTGTGGTTCTATAAGTGAAATGACCGGTCCAGACGTTATCAAAAGGCCAGCTCGCTCTCACAGGTACAATAAGAGGCAAGCAAAATTATCAAGGGGCTGGGCTTACTCCATTGTCTGCAATATTGCAGACAATACTGCAATATTGAAGGCTCTTAGTTTACAGAGCTGGTTGGGTAGCTCAGTGAGTTAGCTCAGGGGTTTGATTTCCCCTCTGCGGCTCCTGGGAGAAGAACCAGCCTGCATAGCCTTGGGCAAGCTGCACAATCCTTGAACACCCTCAGAAAAAAAAATGAAATGGTAAACCACTTCTGACTATTCTCATAATTTAAAATTATATTTAGGGGGCAGGGAAGCAAAGAAAGTGAGGCATGGAAAAATTGTATAAAAACGATGCATGATGTGGAAGAATTAGGTTTTCTCATAGAGTCAGAAGAACAATAGGGCTAAGGCCAGCCTAGGAGCTGCATACGACCCTTCCCGGTACAGACCACAAACCATTAAGCAAATGTTCCACAATCTACAAAACAAATTCTCTTCTTTACATAATTTCCCTGAACGTTTCTTCATTTTGGAAGTCTTACAGGGTTTTTTTCCAGTTGTTTCCAATACCATAAAAGGACGTGGAAGAATTAGGTTTTCTCATAGAGTCAGAAGAACAGTAGGCCTAAGGCCAACCTAGGAGCCGCATACGACCCTTCCCGGTGCAGACCACAAACCATCCCCACGATAAACATAAGCAAATGTTCCACCATCTACAAAATAAATTCTCTTCTTTACATAATTTCCCTGAACGTTTCTTCATTTTGGAAGTCTTACAGGGTTTTTTTCCAGTTGTTTCCAATACCATAAAAGGACAGAGCATTTTGAGAGGATCCAGAAATTAAGGGATGTTATTATTGATGTTGTGCTCTCTGACTGAGAGATCTATCTGAGAACTTCATTAGACCTTGTGGCAGAGAGTTCTATAAACCAAGCAGGGAGTTCCCATGGAGAAAAAAGTGATTGTAGGACGGGGGCCTCTGTGCTGTTTCATTGCAAACTTTAACGCAACAGTTCGTCTGTTACAGAGGTCCACACTGATACTGCAGATGTTTGATATTTTAATCGATTCCTGGCAAACCTATTCAGGGAGAAAATGTGTGCCATACAGTGGGCTTCTCCAACCAATAGTTTTGCCCACTTGTGGGTAATATTCTCCTCTGTGGCGTGTGCTATACTAGAGAAGGAGAGTTACCTGGTGGTTGCTTGTGTCAGAAACTTTAACATCCAAAGATCCGGTCAGCACAGCATACCAATTTGTTCCTATGTCACCTTGCCGAAATACTGTAAAGCAAAAAGAGAGACAAGGGGGTGGAAAAATCAAATCAAAAGACATATTAAACTTCAATGAACATATGGTTGGTACTGGAGGAGAGCTTTGTGAATAATACCCTGGGTTGCCAGAAAGAGAAACAAGTGGGTCCTAGAGCAAATCAAGCCCAAACTGTCTACAGACACAAAAATTATGAAACAGAGGCTGTCCTACTTGGGGCACATCACGAGAAGGCAGGATTCCCTGGAAAAGAGCATAATGCTGGGAAAGGTGGAAGGCAAGAGGAAAAGAGGAGGATCAAATACGAGATGAACTGGCTCCCTAAAGGAAGCCACAGGCTTTAGTCTACAAGAGCTGAGCAAGGCTGCTGAGGACAGGACAGGTGACTTGACAGCACGTAACAACATATAAGATTGATACCAGTGAGTGCTATCTAATTAATAATAATAACAATGAGCTGTCAAGTTGATTCCGATACTCAGAAAGAGTTTACTGATGGAAATCTGGGACTGCGCTGCTTGCTCAAGGCCAGAGAGGCAGCAGGGCACATAACAGCCCCGGCCACCCTGGGTGAACTCAGCCGGCCCCTCTCCTGGGAGTCTGGATTTGAAGTCCTGACCCACAGCCAGGCCCTTCCACCCCTTGAGTTATGCCACTGCTGCTATCTGGTGAGGGCACATTTACATCAATAATCTTCCCCTCCCCCAAATGAAATTTCTGAATGTGCAGTTCCATAAACACGGGTGGGGTCAGGAAACCACCAGCAGAATTTTTAAGCTCAAACTAAAAGTCTTAGTATTTTTATGAGGACTCACCATGATATCTGTATGATGATGACACATTCTTTTAGCACAGCTTTGCCTTATAGAAATATAGCTTGTGCCATCACAGCCAACCAGACCAGATTCCTTGAGGGCACTTCATTTTGTATTTTTATTTGGTGGAGCTTTGGGGGAAATCCTTTCCCAAGGCAACTGACACAAAACAAAACAAAAACCAACCCTGATGCTCTTGGAGATTGCCATGACGAGAAACTGGGGTGTGGCTGTGTGTGTGTGTGTGTCTGTGTGTGTGTGTGTGTGTGTGATTTAAAGCAAAAAAGAGGGGAAAGTTTAATTATTATTTTTTTAGCAAAGTAGCCTTAGAACCACAAAAACATATCTAGAGGGTTGCATATAGCCCACTCCTAGTCTATCATTAACAGAGTAGATGAGAGTAACCGAACTGAAACTTAATCCAGACCAGATGGAGACACTCCTGGTTGGAGTTGTTACTGCTGGTCCTCGTTTCCTGGAGGGGTCACACTCCCCATCAAGGAACAGGTTCACAGAGTAGATGTTGTGATCCATCCACAGAACTGATGTTCTGAGCTGAGCATTACTTTCCTTAGGCAACTGAAAAGAAGATGAGCTTTTGACTTCTTTGACAACTCTTCATCAGGTAGGGAAGGAAATAAATTATAATTTTTTTTAAGTGGAAGAAAACATGGACATCTCTGTCTCAAGCGAAATCTGCAACTGCTACTTTTCCTAGACAGCAGTCTGCATTAATGAGCATCCTATCTGCCCCATTTTTAAAAAATATTATTACTTATTTCATCTGTTATCCCCAAGTGTTATGTCATCCTTCTCTGATGAAGAGTTCTTGAAGAACTCAGAAGACTGTCTTACTTGCAACCCTTTTTGTTTCTTATGTTCCACCAAGTTGGAATGAGCTCCTATTGACCCCAACAGGGGTTTCAAGGTGAGATATTTAAGGAATGGACTATCAGCTCCACACCCAACCCAACCCAACCCGACGGTCACCATTACATCATAAGGTAAGTGAGATATTTAAGGAATGGCTTATCAGCTCCACACCCAACCCCACCCAAGCCGATGGTCACCATTACATCAAAAGGGGTATCATGTAATCTTTTAGTGATCCAATAAAAGGACTACCCCACAGAGAGTTTTCATAGAGTGTGACAGATGAGGTGGCTCCAGGCATCCTGGGTGTGCTGCTCACATGGTGACAAAAATATTTTTAAAATGGAGATGAGGAGAGGAAGTAGAAGCAACAGGCAGGGATACCACTGATTCCAGGTTCCCGTTGTACGGCTTAGCCTATTTAGATGGTTTTGATTTTTCCAGCAGGCTTCTGGTCTTCACGTCAATCAGGCCTCAGTTTAGCCTCTATCATTTTCTTTGCTGCTAGTACAACACAGCAGATTTAGTTTTTATTTCCCCTTAGATGTTTTATGGTTTTGCACTGATAATTGTGTCCTGCTTTAAGAACTCATATGAGCTGAAAAGCTGATTACAAAACCTCAGACAAACCCATTTCAGGTCTCATCTAATCTGCCTGCAGGCACAACCACCACCATACTATCCTTATGTCTTTTTTTTCTCAGAGGGTCCAAAACTTGCACCCTAAAGATAACCAAGGAAAGAGCATGGACTAACTATAACAACCTTCTAAAATGAAGGGAAAGAAACAACATCCTTGAACAGCAAAGATTCTCTGCAGAGAGAGGAACTTGGTGTATTTTTTGACAGAGCTTTGCAAGTTAGGCTTTTGCACTACTCAGAAAACCCCAGCTAGCACAAGACTGAAGGCAGGGAGATTCCAGGACTTATAGGCCAAATAAGTAACTTCTCCAAGCTCTAGAGTAGAGATGGCCACAAACCAGTTCATCCCATTTCATAAAGATGGCAGTACAGGTGGTGATGCTCTCCCTCCCTGCCTCTTCTGCTCAATCAC